CTCTCTCTCTCTCTCTCTCTCTCTCTCTCTCTCTCTCTCTCTCTCTCTCTCTCTCGTTCCTGCAGCCGAGTCCAGATGCCATGGTATGAAGGAATTGAACACCGCATTTTAGGAATCTATCGAGTCTACTGCAATATCGCAACAGAGGTTGATCCCAGAAGCTATGGCACTAGATCAAGACCAATCCGGCTCAAACAAACAAACTTGAGGCGCCCGTGGTTGCGTGGTGGGGCAACAATATCGTGTACCTGGTATGCAGGGGACGCCGGGTCTAGGACCAAAATGTGTCTTCGTGTCGTGTCTGTTGCACGAAGAGCTCCGTATATACCCTGACGTGGACCGAGCCATGTAAGCCTGGAGCGTACCGCGAGGAACGCGAGGGCTACGCCTGTGGATCGCATCGGTTGCAGCTGCAATGCAAACAACGCTCTATCGTTTTACAGTGGTAGATGCATGTGTGAGAGGGTGGTGCAGTCAACCAACAAAGCTCGCGCTCCCCCCACCGCTCTACTCGCAATTTTATTTGTTCCGACCCCGCTCATGAAGTAGAGAGACATCACCAGCCTGCGCGAAATGAAACCGTCTTAGAACCTCAGCGTTGCAGCCCTCCTCTGGTGTCGGCATGGGGACAATGACGGGCATTCAAAGCTATCGGCAAGAGACAACAATAGCACAGCAGTATTACTGCTGCTGTGCTGTGACATGTACCACCACCTTTGTTTGACTTGTCTTGCTGTGCTGTATTACGTCATCTTTGGACAACCATCTAAATAAACCTCAGAGATCTATTCGTGCTTGATGTGGACTACACAGTAGGCATGCTTTCATGGTATTGATGTATTCATATGCACAGAGTCTACCGGTTCAGCAAGTGTACGAAAGACAGCGTTGCAATGGCAAAGTTCGGGTGGCAATGTTCACCCTGCTGGCATCTTGCTCAGTCACATCTCGGTCTACATTGGAAGTGTCGGTTCAGAAATGCGCAGAACCAATTTCTCGGGGCAATCGCGTTGAAATCCACCGTTCCCACCACCATTTGAGCATACAATACCCAAATCAACTCAGATTCGAAAAAATCTGGCACCGGCGCATCCTCTTTTGTCGTGTAAGAGTAGCCACAAAATTTCAAGCCTAAACTCGTGGAATTGGCAGGGTGAGAGGCGAAACAAGGAAAGTGAGCTTCTTGGCCGACCCAGCGTGTTGTCTAGTCTAGTCGTTTAGCGTCGATCTCCTTTCCCTCCGACAACTCGCTTTAGCACTTCTGTAGTCTATTAGTTGAGAAACATGCATATTTAGACTATATACCGTACGTATGAAATTGTTTATGCTCTTTGCCTGTTGTGTTCTCGGACGCCGCCTACAGCCGGTTCAAGAAAGCGGGCAGACCAATCCCGTAAATCAACTACTGCAGTAGCACCTGGGAGTCCAAGTATCGTTGAGGTGATCTTCTCAGCAACATCACATCTAGAGTGGAGTATAGTAGTGGTCCCGATATAGTGGCATGTAGTGGCAGAAAAAAACATGCCACTAACTATTCAGGGCAATGCCACTATTCGATATATCGCATTAATGCCACTATGTCGGAGAATAAGCTTTGATACTTACGCTGCGGACAGTTGTTCTTTGGATTTTCACTCTTATGCGTTGTGTATTGTATGTATCTGGGATCCCTCTTTTGTTGTGTGCACCAGCATCCGCGTGAAAACGCAGGTGTCTGCCCATCACTTGTGCATTGTCACTTGATCGTTCTTGTGACAATGAGGCCTTCCGCGATCGCACCCTACCTTTGTGTGCAGGCGGACTGCAGAAACAAACAAACATACTACAAATATAGTTTTTTTTTTTGTGTTGTCTGGCCATCCATTATGGGGTTCAACACAAGCAAATCACACATGTTGAAAACATCAATGTACGCGAAACCAACTGGAGCAACCAAGTTGAATACGCCGAGCACTCCCCATTCCGGTGCATCAATCCCATTCGTCACGATGCTTTGCACCTGTAGGCCTCAACCGACCAATTCCACTACACTTTTTTTGACTGGTCAAACGCTCTGATGTCCAACTGCCGTGCCGGTCTAGCGGTATGTGCTCGAAGAATGCCATCTTTGCCTTACGAAGGAAATGCCTGGCCTCGCCAATGCCACACGACTCCGCGTACCCTTCTAGAGGATGAAAAAGCCCAGACAGTTCTGCGAACGATGGCGGCGCCTTCATCCCTCCACCCCCCTCACTCTCAGAATCTTCGGTGCTGTCTAGCTCTACGTCGTCGTCCCAAGAGGTGTCCTCTTCGGCGTACATGTTGCCAACCTTCTACAAAAACATCTCCCATGCGTCTTCGGACAGAGCTTGCGGTGAAAAACGGGAAGGCGCCGGTGTTTTGAATGCCCACTATTGGGGGGGTGATATGCCCAAAATGCCACTATTGAGGGCCCCGTCCTCAATAGTGGTACAATGCGACCATGTCGGATTGAGATAGTGACAAGAGATCTTGATGTCACTATTGAGGGGATTTCACTATTCAGGGTGCCATCATATCGGGACCACTACTGTATGCAATAGAGAATGGCTGTGTTAAGGAGTGTGGCTACTTGCCCTTGTACAGTCGAAGCGCGTTGCGGCGCTCTTCAGCCGAGACCAAGGGGGTGCACAATGGCGGATCATTATTGGTTAGAGCCATCTCACTAGCGACGTTGTACACCTCTTGGAAGTGTCCTCGCAACGGCCAGTCGCTGTAGTGCAACAGAAAAGGGTCCCGATCGTCATCAGCCACGAGGTCNAGGGAGATGTTTGAGGCATGGAATAGAGAGGAAAGGACGGTAGCTGTACTGGGGCATAGGAGGTGGGTTGAAAAGGCGGGAAGGGATATCGTTAGGATAGACAGACTAGGGAAGACATTTTTGAGCCACCTTTGGCAAAGTAGAAAGGAACGATTGGCCATCGGTGATCGGTCCTGTGGGAACAATGCTCCGTCCTCTTGAGGACGCGTGGTCAATGGTCTAACCGCTAAGGCATGCAAAACACAAGAGTACGCCCCCCCCCCTCCAGCGTGCGTCTGTTCTGATTGGTCCTGACTCTGCAACCGGCCACATCGTCGAGCCACCAAGTCAAGCGGCATCACCGGTGCCACAAGACGATGCTGGTTTGCCTTTGTCTTCCACGGGAACGAGAGCGAGGCAGGAGGCTCTGCACGCTGCGGACGCCGCTGCAGCGGAGGCCGACACCATCCGCATTCAAGACAAGATGGACAAGCTGAAGCCGGAACAACTTGATAGTGTCACACGCTTGCCCCTCGGTCCTGATCCTGATGAATTTGCTCGCTTCGCGTCTAGCTGCAAGGGTGTGGTCACAGAGATCCTCAACAAAAGCGACGTCAAGCGCAAGCAGACTTTCAGTTCCTCCACCTGGGTCACCGGATGGCTTCCGTTGTTGCGCAAACGTGTCCGTGCTGCTGTCGTTGAAGGCCAAACCACCAACCGTGCCACTCTGGAATTTCTTGATGCCACCTTCCTACAGGTAGAAAACCATCTGCGCAAGGAACCGGCAGGGCCCTCGACGTACGCCTTCTTCATCCAGAAATTGGCGGCCGCCTGGGACACTCAAGACAAGAGCTCGGGGATTGATCGTCTTCGCAGTTTTGGCGTATCCAACGGCGAGACTTACGGAGAATACATCCGTCGCTATAAGGCTCTGGCCATGACCGTCATGGTTTCCCACCACGCGTTCAAGCCTTCGGATGCGCAAGTGCAGATAGCTGTTCGAGACTCCATGTTGAAACAGTTTCCGGTAGTGTCTGGGCAGGTGTACAAGGATGAGCAGCTCTCCATGGAAGCCCCTTTTGGGCGACATGCTTCGTGTCTGGATGATATGTGGGATGTGTTGGACAAGCGTGCGTTCGCGCACACGCCGGCGGTACATGGAGATGATTTCTTTTCGGTATCTTCCACGAATGCTAGGAGTTCGTCTGCTGTTTCGCGTGCTGTAGCTTCTTCGGCGTTGCGTTCGACGGTGACCCCTTCGTGGAGCCAAGGTTCTTCGGCCGCCGTGATGAGTGTTGACCCTCTACCTAATGATGATCGGGACCCTTTTCTGTTGCACTACAGCGACTGGCCGTTGCAAGGACACTTCCAAGAGGTGTACAACGTCGCTAGTGAGATGGCTCTAACCAAGAATGATCCGCCATTGTTCACCCCCTTGGTCTCGGCTGAAGAGCGCCGCAACGCGCTTCGACTGTACAAGGGCAAGTGCCTCAACTGCTTGGGAGAAGACCACTCCTTCAAATCCTGTAATCGTGGTTTCGTGAACGCCACCGGCCTGCTTAACAATGACATCAAGTTCTGTATGGAAAAAGATCCCACCCTTTGGGGTCGGTGGAAAAAGCGCATGACCTCGTATAGACGCCCTACAGGACGCAACCCACATCGAAATCACCCCTTAGGACGCGCCCGCCGCTCATCTGACACATCGGACACGAAACAGTCCTCACACACAGAGCACTCGTCGGACGCTTCCACTTCGACAAAAAGGGGCTGAAGGGGTAAGAAATGACAAGCCGATGGCGGAGTTCAGCCGGTACTACCGTCAACAGCAACCACCGTGCACCCTTTTGGAGTCTCCCAACATGTTCGTGTACAGCCTATTTCTTTGGATACTCCCCACGCTCCTAAATCACATCTAGTTTCTCGGCCCGCCTCCTCGTCGTCCGCCTCATCGCCTGCTGGTAATGGACATGACAGACCCATTTCGGCACTACCTTTGTGGTGTGGGCGACAGGGAGGTAAGACGTCGAGCGGTCCATCCCTGCTCACCTCGTCGTCTCGGGTTACAGAAGGAACAAGAACCTCGTCTTCTACTATTCGTCAAGACTCTCCTGGTGTTGTCAGCCGGGCCTCTTCTCGGATCGCACACGAGCCTTCTTCTACACTCGTCGGGAACCCCGTCGATCCTCCTTCTCTTTCGCAGCTTTCGTTGTCTTCGACCGTCCGCTGCCCCCGTGTGACAGCACCTGATACGAATGCGACTTCCTCTGCTGCCCACCACGTGCTGACTGCACCACTGCCATCGGGATCGGATGGTAGTGCCCACCATTCTGTGGAAGGTTCGGCTCCTTTGTCAAGGGGGAGTAGTCAAGAGCGCCCTGCGTCAATGATCAAACATCCGTCTGTTGCAGGAATGACTTCTCCTAACGAACGGGTCTCTAATAGCCGAATGGCCTCTGCTAACATTGACCCCGCCGGAGCCGCCGCCCTAAGGCCGCCCTCCGGATCACGGAGCGTTGCGACTTCGCCCGCTCCTGCCTCGCTTTCTGGGTCCTCCCCGTCGGAGAAGAGGACCCGTCCGCCTGGTCCACCCCCGCCTGTGCCTGGTGCCCGCTCTTTGCCCCTTCGCCCTGCACCGGCTCCGCCGTTTGATGACAAGTGCGAGTACGCTTCGGATGACGTCCTTCTTTTCTGGAAACCTCCGTCTGTGTTCTCGCAATGGACTCCTTCGGCTTTTGACGTACTGGGGGTACGTTATTCATGTGGTGAGCAATTCATGATGTCTGAAAAAGCGAAGTTGTTTGGAGATATGACGTCGTATGACAAAATTATGGCTGCAACAGATCCTAAGACACACAAGTTTTTGGGTCGAAATGTGCGTCCTTTCGACTATGCTGAATGGGAGCGTCGTCGTGAAGAGATCGTGCTTACGGGGTCGTACGCCAAATTTGCTCAAAACCATGACATGAAACATCATCTACTGGAGACGGGTACCCGCCTCCTTGCAGAAGCCAGCCCCTTCGATCGTGTTTGGGGTATCGGCATGTCTGCATGCTTTCCAGATGCTAGCGATTCATCCAAGTGGGCGGCTAGCGGTAAAAACTTGTTGGGAAAAGCTTTGATGGAAGTTCGACGCCTTTTGCGTGATCATCCCCTGTCTGGTGAAGATTTCCCCGTTTCCAATTCTCTCACGCCCCCCATTTCGCATCCTCCTCTCCATAGACATCGACGCATTCATGAGGTTGCTACTGCTACAGGTTCTTCGCTACGGAAGGACCCGGGCGAAGACCCAGCTTGTCTACGTTTGGACGCTCCGGGGGACCATGCTCCTGGCGTTCATCTGGTGGCATCGACCTCCGCTTGTGCAGACCAGCCTCCTCTTCTCGAACATGGGCCCGATCTGGTCGGCGGCACGCTCCTGTTGGACTCGGACTCATACACCACCCGGGTCCTGCTGCATGGAGGACCTACAGCCACTTCTCAACTCGCGCGAGTGGCGCTTCTGGACTCTGGGTCTCCTGCATCCTTCGTTTCCGACTCCGTGGTCACCGCCATGATAGCTGCCGGAGCCCTGACAGCTGGCAGCGTTCGTGTTTTGCCCTTTCGTCGTTGGGGTGGGTTTGGTGATGGACCCGCCCTTGTGACCACCCGGTCGATTGGTCTCACCGTTAATTTTCTCCATGGAGATAGAGCTACCGCTTCCTTGGCGGTCTGGGCCTGTGTTGTTCCAGACGCCGCCATGGGGCACGCCGTGCTTCTGGGTCGTGATAGCTGGATGAGCTTCAACTCTCGCGTGTTCACCACCCTCCCCCA